TAACGTGTGTGTACCATCAAATCAGATCTGACTGGTACAGGAGGAGATTGTCCCTTCTTCTCCAGCAGAGCATTTGGTGGATTAGAAGCGTGCACCTCTAGGATTGCAGTGCGGCTTCTTGCCACTAGGCCACCAGAGCTTGCCTGCTCTTAGTCCTTTTTTGAAAGAAATAATCTGTTGTTACTTTTGGACCAGAGATTATAATCTTTAATATATTTCTATGTTTACAGTTCCTATCAGCCTGTCTAGGTAGTTATCTTCCTGCAGTTAGGTTAGAGACAACCAGGTAAAACTTAGAACATAGAATGAAGTGCAGTGTCTAGCATTCATTGATACCCAGTTACTTACTTTTAATAGAATGAAATAACATTTATGTCCCAAGGAGCTCAAGTGACACAGTGATTAAAGAGATCAGCCACTAACCAAAGAGTGTATTCATCATCTGCTCCATTGGAGAAAGATATGGCTATTTACTTTTTTTTTTACACAGATATTTAAATGGTAAGAATTTAATCCTACTTTTCTCAATAATACTAGTTACTTCCAATCCTTAGCTTTACTTTCATAAATTTTTGTATTATATTAGTTTATTTACAAAATTTGAATACGTTATTTTTGAGAACAGATTCTTCCAATTTCCCTCACCCCTCCATTCATCAAATTGTACAACCCCATGATTAATCTTCCCCTCCCTCCATCCTCATCCCTCTGCTTCCCCAACCCCCTTGGATCATCATAGTCATTCTACAAATAATGGTTTTATACACTATTTGTCCTTGTGGGATTGAAAACACTCAGTATAATGCTCTCCAATCCCTCCAAAATTAGATAATATAATTTGCAATATCATTGCTCCTGTGTGTGGCATAATATTCCATTATGTGAATAAATGTACCATAATTTCGGAATCTGTTTGTTTTCTGTTTGGTTGGACATCTGGGTTGTTTCCGTGTTCTTGTGATGGTGAATAACACTGCTATGAATATTGGTGTACAAGCCTCCATTTGTGCCTCAGTACTCATTTTCTCAGGTATATTCCAAGGAATGGAATACCTAAGTCATATGGAATTTCTATGTCCAGCTTTTTGAGGAAGGGCAAAACTGCCTTCCAGAATGGTTGTAACATTTTACAATCCCACCAACAATATGTAAGAGTTCCTACCTTGTGACATCCTCTCCAACATTTATTACTTGCTGCCCTGTTAAATCTTGCCACTGTTACAGCGAGATGGCATCTCATTTTGGTTTGGATTTGCAACTCTCTTAATGCCAGTGAATTTGAGTATTTCTACATATGTCTCCTTGCCATTCAAATATCTTCCTCTGTGAAAATTCTTTCCATGTCTTTTGTCCATTTTGTAATTGGTTTATCAGTCTTTTTCTTGTGGAGGCCCTATAGGATTCTATAAACTTCTGATATGAGACCCTTGTCTGAATGGTACTGCCAAATTGATTTTTTTCTAGTCAGTAGGTTTTCTTTTCACCCTGTTGCAAAAATATTTGTTGTACTCAAGGATTTAATCTTTAGAAGGTCCTATTTATCAATTTTATCATCTTCAGATTGTGCATTTCTGGCTGTATCTGGCAGTCTCTTTGTACTATCATCTAGGGCTTCTAAGTTTGATCCAAGTTTGCCTCTTATGGCGTTTATGGTTTTAGACTTTATTCCCAGGTCTCTGATCCATCTTGAGGTGATTTTTGTGTATGGTGTAAGATGTGGATCTTACTTAAGCTTTCTGCAGGTGGAAGTCCAGTTTTGCCAGCACCATTTGTTGAAAAGCTTGTCATTTACCCATTTGATAGCTTTGATTTCCTTATTGAATGTCTGTTCACATAGATTTCTGAGTTCTTAATTCTGTTCCATGGGTCTGTGTGCCATGATGTTTTGGTTACTACTCCTGTTAGTACTTCTGGGAGTACTGAAGAGGAAATTCAAGCCTCGAGTTGCTATACTTAAGGATGCTTTGGGCAGAATATTGAGTGATCCTGAAAGTGTTAAAAGAAGATGGAAAGAGTATAGTCATTATACCAAAAGGAATTGGCAGACACAGAAGAATTCAATGAAACTACATATGAGAAAGAGCCTATGGTGATGAAGGAAGAAGTTCAGACTTCTTCGAAAGAATTTAAGAATAAGGCCCCAGGAATTGATGGTATACCAATTGACATATTTCAACTAACAGATGCTGTCCTAGATGTGCTTACCAAGTTGTGCCAAGAAATCTGGAGAACAACCACTTGGCCAATTGACTGGAGGAGAGCTATATTTGTTCTCATTCCAAAGAAAGATGATCCTACTGAGCGTGGAAATTATCAAACAATATCATTAATATCACAGGCAAGCAAGATTCTGCTGAAGATTATAAAAAAAAACCCTACTGGAATAGCACATCAATGGAGAACTACCAGAAGTGCAGGCTGGGTTTAGACGGAGTTGTGGTACTAGGGATATTGTAGCTAATGTTAGCTGGATTTTGGCTGAAAGCAAGGAGTACCAGAAGAATGTCTATCTTTGTTTTATTGATTACGCAAAGGCATTTGACTGTGTGGATCATAACAATCTGTGGCTAACTCGGAAAAGAATCGGAATCCCAGAACACTTGATTGTGTTAATGCAAAACCTATACTTGGACCAGGAGGCAGTTGTCAGGACAGAGCAGGGAGGCACTGCATGGTTCAAAATTGGGAAAGGTGTATGCCAGGGATGTATCCTGTCTCCATACCTTTTCAATCTTTATGCAGAACAGATTATCCAGGAGGCTAGGCTCTATGAGGAGAAATGTGGTATCAGGATTGGAGGAAGAATCATCAGCAATCTGCTTTATGCAGATGAAACAA